CCCTCCCAACGCCCCCAGCCCTGTCCTAATGCCTCTAGCCTCATTCCAATGCCCTCAGCACCGCCCCAGAGTCCCTAACCCCATCCCAATGCCTCCAACCCTGTCCCAAAGCCCCCGCAACCCCATCCCAATGCCTCCAGCCCTGTCCCAAAGCCCCCAAGCCCCATCCCAACACCCCCAGCCCTGTCTCAATGTCCCCAGCCCCATCCCAATGCTTCCAGCCCCATCCCAAAGCCCCCAGCCCTGTCCTAATGCCTCTAGCCTCATCCCAATGCCTCCAGCCCCATCCCTACGCCCCCAGCTCTGTCCCAGTGCCCCCAGCCCCATCTCATTGCTCCTGTTTCCACCCCAGTGCCCCCAGCCCCATCCCACTGCCTCCACCACCCACTTGTCATTGAAGTACTCCCCGCCCTGGTGGATCTGGTTCTCCAGGGTGAAGTTGAAGGTGAAGTGCCGGACCTTCTCGCGGGTGAAGAGTTTGGTGCGTGAGGCGTACTCGATGTTCTGCAGGTGCTTGATCATGTCTGGGAACCACACCGTCAGCCCGTAGTAACTGTGGGGTGAGAGGAGCTGAGCCTGGCACCGTGCACCCACCTCTGTCCCAATGTCATCAGCTCCATTCTGATGCTGCCTACCCCCATCCCGGTGCCATCAGCCCCCTCCCAGTACCACCAGTCCCATGCTGTTGTCACCCACCATCATACTGCTGCCATCAGCCCCAGCCCAGAACCATCAGCCCCATCCCAGAGCTACCCACCCTTCCCTGGGTGGCCAATGCCACCAGTCCCATCCCAATCCCACCGGCACCATGCCGGCATCACCTACTCCCATACCAGTACCACCAGATCCCAATGCCATCAGGCTCATCCCAGTGCCCCCATCCCCATCGCAATGCCATCAGCCCTATCCCAGTGCCCCCAGCCCCCACACCGGTACCACCAGTTCCATCCCAGTGCCATCAGTCTCATCCCAGTGCCTCCATCCCCATCGCAATGCCATCAGCCCTATCCCAGCGCCCCCAACTCCCACACCGGTACCACCAGTTCCATCCCAGTGCCATCAGTCTCATCCCAGTGCCCCCATCCCATCCCAATGCTATCAGCCCTATCCCAGTGCTCCCAGCCCCCACCCCAGTATCACCAATTCCATCCCAGTGCCATCAGTCTCATCCCAGTGCCCCCATTGCCATCCCAATGCCATCAGCCCTATCCCAGCGCCCCCAACTCCCACACCGGTACCACCAGTTCCATCCCAATGCCATCAGTCTCATCCCAGTGCCATCAGTCTCATCCCAGTGCCCCCATCCCATCCCAATGCTATCAGCCCTATCCCAGTGCTCCCAGCCCCCACCCCAGTATCACCAATTCCATCCCAATGCCATCAGTCTCATCCCAGTGCCCCCAGCTCCATCCCAATGCCATCACCATCATCCAATCGCCACTAGCCCCACCCCAGCACCACCAGTGCCATCCCAGAGCCACCCATTCAGTCCTGCTGCCATCAGTCCCATACTGCTGCCACCCACTTCCACTGGTACCAGCAGTCCCATCCTGATGCCACCAGCCCCCATACTGGTATCACCAGTTCCATCCCAGTGCCATCAGCCCAGTCCCAGAGCCCCCAGTCCCCATACTGGTACCACCAGTCCTGTCCCAGTACTATCAGCCCTATCCAGGTGCCACTAGCCCCATCCCAGCACCACCAGCCCCGTCCCAATGCTGTCAACCTCATCCCAATATCACCAGTCCCATACCAGTATCATCAGCCTGGTCTCATTGCCCCAGCCCCATTCTCAGCCCCATCCCAAAGCCCCCAGCCCATCCCATTGCCCCAGCCCCATTCCTAGCCACATCCCATTGCTCCTGTTCCCACTCCAATGCTCCCAGTCCAGTCCCATTACCCCCAGCCCCATTCCCAGTCCAGTTCCATCACTCCTGTTCCCATCTCAATGCCTCCAGCCCCATCCCATTGCTCCCGGCCTCATTTCCAGCCCTATCCCAATGCCCCCAGTCCTGTCCCATTGTCTCCAGCCCCATCCCATCACTCCTGTTCCCATCCCTTTACCTCCAGCCCCATTCCCATTCCAGTTCCATTGCTCCTGTTCCCATCCCAGTGCCCCCAGCCCCATCCCATCTCTCCTGTTCCCATCCCAGTGCCCCCAGCCCCATCCCATCTCTCCTGTTCCCACCCCATTGCCCCCAGCCCCATTCCCAACCCCACCCCATCACTCCTGTGCCCAGCCCAATGCCCCCATCCCAGGGACCCACCCAGACCCCACCTGAAGCTCATGGTGAACCACACAGCCATCATCATCAGCGTGATGCGGCGGTACTCGGGCGCGAAGCACTGCTGGAAGTTGCTCCAAACCTGGAGGGCGGGATGAGAGGTGGGACAACAAGGACAAAGCAGGGACCCCATGGCTGTGGGGCAGAACCTGACCCCATACCTGCTGCGAGAGGCTGAGGCAGCGCACCAACCAGCGGCGGTGCCACGCGCCCGTGTCCGCCTGGATCTCAATCAGCTCATCCTCCCTCTTGATGGTCTTGATGTGGGTGACCTGCAGGCGCCCGTGCCTCAGTTTCCCCACCCGTTGTCACCCCCCTCTCCCCGCCCCCATCAAGCGATGCTGCTCCCCGAGGTGGAAATTGGCAGGGGAAGCAGCAGGAGTGGGGGGATACGCACTGGTAGGGGGGTGGGTGGCACCAGTATGGGACTTATGGCACTGGGGTGGGGCTGGTGGCACTGGTTGGGGCTGGTGGCGCTGGTCTGGGGGTATTCAGATGGGGCTGATGGCACTGATACAGGGTTGATGGCACTGGTCTGGGGTTATTCAGGTGGGACTGATGGCACCGGTATGGGGGTATTCCGATGGCGCTGGTGGCACTGGTGTGGGGCTGGTGATGCTGGTCTGGGGGTATTCAGATGGGGCTGATGGCACTGGTATAGGGGCACTCAGATGGGGCTGATGGCACCGGGGTAGAGATGATGGCACTGGGACAGATGAGAGCAGGATGGGGCTGATGGCTCTGGGATGATGGTATCCAGATGGGACTGGTGGCACTGGGCAAGGGTTGGTGGCAGCGCTGGTGGGGGCTGGACCTTACCGAGAAGACCCTCTCAGGGTGGCCCTTGGCCCGCATGTTGGTATCGTGGACTTGCTTCAGCACCATCCAGGCCTCGTCGTGCTTGCCATTCTGCAGGGCAGGGCCAGGGGTCACCCTGGGACCAACGCTGCCCTACCCCCAGCATCCATTTGGGGGGCACCACCCCACCCCCAGCACCTTCCTGGGGTCCCTGCCTCACACCCAGCATCTACCTGGGATCCCTGCCCCATCCGCATGTCCATGTGAGTGCCCCTATCCCATCGCCAGCACCTTTATGGGGGTCCCTGCTCCATCCTAGCAGCCCCCTGGGGTCCCTATGCCACTGCCAGCACCCACCTGCCAGCACCCCCCTGCCCCCAACGCCAGTATCCATCTGGGGGTCCTTACCCCAACTCCAACATCCGTTTGGGAGTCCCTTTCCCACCCTCAGCTGCCACCTGGGGGTCTCCGCTCCATTTCCAGCATCCATTTGGGGGTCTCACCCCCACCCCAGCATCCGTATGGGAGTCCCACCCCCACCCATAGCCCCCAGCCCCAGGCTGACCTCCAGGTAGAAGCGGGGGCTCTCGGGCATGGTGGTCAGCGCTCCGATGGCGAAGACGGAGGGGAAGGCGCACACCAGGACAAAGACCCTCCAGCTGTGGAACTGGTACGCCGAGCCCATCTGGAAGCTCCAGCCTGTGAGGAGAGGGCATGGAAGGGGGCTGAGACCCCGCAGAGCTCAACACATGGATGGTGGAAGCTGAGACCCTACTGAGCTCGATGCACACATGGTGGTGGAGCTGAGACCGACAGAACTCGGTGCACGCACGGTGACAGGGCTGAGACCCCACAGAGCTCGGTGCACGCATGGCGGAGGGAGGGACTGAGACCAGTGCATGCATGGTGACACGGCTGAGACACCGCAGAGCTCAGTGCACACATGGTGGGGGCTGAGATTCCACAGAGCTCAGTGCATGCATGGTGGGAGCTGAGAATTTGAAGAGCTCGGTGCACACATGGTACATACGGGTCTGAGACCCCACAGAGATCAGTGCATGCACAGTGACAGGGCTGAGACCCCACAGAGCTCAGTGCACACATGGTGGTGGGGCTGAGACCTGAGCTCTGCAGGCGCATGGATGGCGGTGGGGCTGAGACCCTGCAGAGCTTGGTGCATGAATGGCAGAGGGACTGAGACACCGAGAGCTTGTTGCACGCATAGGAGCGGGGCTGAGACTTTGCAAAGCTTGGTGCATGGTGAGACCCCAGCTGAGACCCCACAGAGCTCAGTGCATACATGGTGGTGGGGCTGAGACCCCACAGAGCTCAGTACACACATAGTGATCCAGCTGAGAAACTGCAGAGCTCAGTGAATGCGTGACAGAGGGGCTGAGACCCCGCAGAGCTCAGTGCATGTATGGCACAGGGTCTAAGACCCCACAGAGCTCAGGACATGCACAGTGATCCAGCTGAGATGGTGCAGAGCTCCGTGCACACATGGTTATGGGGCTGAGAACACACAGAGCTCCGTGCACACGTGGTTATGGGGCTGAGATCCCACAGAGCTCAGTGCACACATGGTTATGGGGCTGAGAACACACAGAGCTCCATGCACACATGGTTATGGGGCTGAGAACACAC